AAAAAAAAACAAAACCATGGTTTAAATCCTACTTAAACTGTCTTGTTTTCAAGCCTCATCAAATAAGCCCACAACAGCATAAGGCGATGCATCGCGGTAGCAGTCCTCCGGAGGGAAGAAAGAGACAACGCAGTACTTCGGATGGTGCATTTGGTCGTCCGAACTTTTCTGAACAAAGCAAGTAGATAACTAGGTCAGTCATTTGATGGGAATGGATGCCCTGGATAAATTTGGGGTCAGGCGTTAGGTGCAAATTTCCTTTAACACCCAGATAGACTGACAGAGTTCGCTGGTGTAGGAAGGTAAGCTTGAACAGAAGGCCGAGTCAGCCCGTAGGGAGTTTTCCATTTACGCAAAGAAACGTGCGTTGTACCACCAAGCAGAGTACCCAACTGCCAACAGATGAAACTGCTCGATTCTACCCGAGACTGAAAGTCAGGCTGCAATGTCCCTGTAGCGGCTCACCTGCGGCTATCAATGTTGTCATCTTCAAGTATGTCTTCCGTTGCGGTTATCACTAATGAAATATCAGAGGGAAAGGCAATTGAGGCGTGCATGATATGCATCGCGCACGGAGTAGAGTTCTTGAAAGAATTAACTGCCGAGAGTTCGTTTAAACATTTTCTTTTGCGCAGACGAGTGTCTTTGTGTTGCACTACATTCAGAAAACTGTGCGCCTAAAGAAATGTTCGTGCAGCATAAATGACTTTTAGTGGATAATTTAGTAATGAGGTTGACTTGCATAGCATCTACCGCACTCATCCTCGCTCTCTCAATCACCAGTTTCCAAAGGCTAACATTTTCAAGGACGCCTAGAAAATTGGTTTCAAGGCCGACAGGGCTTAACAACCCGTCCATACATGACCCGTCGTTCTCCTGCAGGATGCAAGCTCCTCAGAGATTAGAGGGGGGCTAGAATCTCACGTGTTTTGAAATGCCACAGCGTCCGCGTTATGCGGCCGAGCATGTGTACCTGTCGTCTGCCAGTCAGTTCTGCCACGCATGCATATACAATGCTAACCAAACAGGCCAAATTATCTAACCGGTTTTAAACTTCCCAAGCAATCGCTTTTAGCTGCTTTTGATAGAATCAAGCACATTCAAATGGCAAGGATCAACTACATGGTGTCCCAAAAAATGTATGCACATTTTAAATAATTGTAAACTTGATGTTAATTATAAAGTTATTATTTCAAAAATAAAAGAAATATTTACAAGTATCATTTTTTTTTCACTGCATTTTGACGAATGCAACATTGGCCGAATTGACAGAAGCCACAAAATATGAACGCACACGAATACCAAGGGAATCGTTTGACGGTGTGTGCGATTTCATTGCTTCGCGTTGTCAGCGATGTCATGACCAATATGGACGTCAGTTAGAGAAAATTCAGTGAAAAACGATAAAATGATACCTGTTAATATTTTTTGCACTCTTAAATTGAGAGAACTATAATAAACACCAATCTTACAATTATGTGAAATGTGTATACATTTTTTGGGACACCCTGTATATGGCCCCACTTACTCCTAACTGATGTGAGATAACTACTTAAACCGTATAGGTACTCTTTATCTAAATGCCCTCCTTTTCGATTTTTCTGCGTCACCACTTCGTCCAGTATTAGCATTCAGATTAGCATTGGACCTAGATTCGAGATTAAAAATTGAAGGTTGAACCTTGGGTCAAGACGAGGGTTGTATTTATTCTTAGAAATTAGAGGGGGAATTTTGGCATAGGCTTAGGTTTAAAGGTTGGGTTATCAACCTTGTAGACTTCAGTTGGTGTCATCACGAAAGAAAGATTTAAGGCTATATTCTTCACACACTCTCTCTCTCTCAGTGTAGTTGATCATCACGGTCTAGGATCAGTTCGCCTGGAACATCTAATCAATGCCCTCAGTTTCCATTTTGTTCGCCTAGCTACCTCTACCTCCCCTTCCCCTAATTCCCCACATATTAAATTTCGCGCTCGCGTTTTGACGCTGTATTGGTGCATTTAAACAAGCCTGTAGCATAGGTGTATTGTTTAAGCTTTTATATTCCGAAACCAGCTATCTGTCAGTTTTGTTTTCACTGACTCTCCTTGCTCACCGCTCGCGTATTG